GTCTCGCCCCCCTTCCGCTCTCTCCACCAACCTCCCTCCTCCCCCGTCTCCCACCCCATCTCTGGCGTCCATCCTCCCCCCGGCTATCGACGTGGACACAGCTGCCGCGCAGCTTGTGGTCGAGGCGGCTGAGGTCGAGGGCGCCAAAAAAGGCAAGGCAAAAGGCACTTCCACGAAGGCCACAACAACAAAACTCGCCGAACGCGAAATCTCGCCCGACATGCAGCAGCAGCTTGCCGCTGCCCTCCAGGGGGATCTCATCCTCGGCACGGAAGCCAACCATGCCTCTAACTACATGTTCGCAATGACGGCCGCACATACGGCTCGCGCTGGGGAATTCGCCATCCTTCAATTTGTACCTCTCATGATCAACGCCCAATGCAATATGGAACGATTGCGGCTAGAGTACCACAACCTGGCCACCGCCGCGTACAACACCGGTATAACTCCACCTCCTCCCCCTGCTGTCAATGGGCCCAGTGAAGCATTTTTAGCCTTCATCGAAAACAGTGTCCAAGAAATCATATCAACAAATGACAACGATGAAAATTCCGAGCCTGTTCGAATATGGGAAGCCTTTCACATACGTGAGTTTGTTGTCTCTCCTTAAATCTGCTTCTCACCTCCCTTATAGCAAGTGTCAGCGGCGCGGTAGCACCAAGCAGTGGGCAGCAGCACCCTCGTGACGGCGCCGTCCACCAGCATCACGACATCGAAGGTGCTCAAGGCCCCCAACAGCACCACCGTGGCACCGTCCACCAGCAGCACGGCGGCCAGATCCCGCCACCGCTGCAGCGTGAGGCACAGCACCGCGGCGCCGTACGCCAGCAGCACGACATCGAAGGCGCTCAAGGCCCCCAACAGCATCACCGCGGCGCCATACACCAGCAGCACGGCGGCCAGATCCCGCCACCGCTGCAGCGTGAGGCGCAGCACCGCGGCGCCGTACGCCAGCAGCACGACATCGAAGGCGCTCAAGGCCCCCAACAGCATCACCGCGGCGCCATACACCAGCAGCATGACGTCGATGGCGGCCAGATCCCGGCGCAGGCGCAGCACGGCGGCCAGAACCCAGCGCATCATCAGCAGCGCGAGGTCCAGCAGTCCGACGCCCACCAGCAGCACCATCAGCACCGCGGCCAAAACTCAGCGCAGCGGCGCGAGGTGCAGCAGCAGCAGCAGCCCAACGCCCAACAGCAGCAGCAGTACCGCGGCCAGAACCCAGCGTACCGGCGCGAGGTGCAGCAGCCTGACATCCGCCAGCAGCACCGCGGCGCCGTCCACCACCAGCAGCAGGAGCGCGGCGGCAATGATGATGAGGATCAGCAGCAGCAGCACAGCAGGACCCCGGAGGAGCCAGCGGACGACGATATGACGCACAAGGAAGATGAATTGGGATATGAGGAGGAGGAAGACGAGGAACAACCCGTACACTACCAGCCCGCCCAGCAGCAGTCCGTCCAGCAAACCCCGCTCTCTGACGACGAATATTGGCAATAAACATAGTGTCTTGCAGTGTAGTTAATTTTTTCTTGGCAGTTAAAATAATATCTTGACGCTACACTGTATATATCCCTTTTTAATTTGTCTAACTTCATTGCCAAGCACAACCACACCAGAATCCGAAAACCCTCCTTCCGTGTCGACCTGTTCTTTCTATGGCCGCGGTCCCGCCCAAATGGAACAGCAAGAAAAAACGTTTCAACTACAATGCGTTTGATCTGGCAATCGCAGATCCTCAGACGATTGCCAGAGCAAAACAAACTCTCATCGACTCACTGGATCATTCCACCGTCGCACCTTCAACGCGTGGTCCGAGAGATATTCTCTGTGCTAAATATATAGCACTGGTCCGCCTTGGAGTGTGGTCGGCTGTCTCGGAAGAAACAGCGTGGTCAAGTGAAGGTGTAGCTAGTAAGTGTCCCAGCCTCGTCTTTGTCGCGCCCGTGCTGACCTTGCTCCCAGCGAGAATTATGGAGCTGTTCACATGGCACGTCGACACCTCAAAGTCTGTAACCAACGTCGGGGAGCGGATGTTAGCTCCAAGTTGCATCACACTTGGGCGTCAATATTCCGCGATTGTGAGTTTCTTCATTTCTTTGAGAGCATAACCCGCTCAACAACCTCTTGCAGCTTCGGGAAAAAACCCCCATGCATGAAGCCCATCATGCAGATTGGGATCTTACGATAAAAAAGGTATTCGTGATTCGGAAGATTATCATACGGCAAGCTGAAACATCCCCAGCATTCTCGTTTTTTATGTGATGAGCTAGGTCTAAGCAAATCACCCGGCCAGCGTCCCGTCTACGGCTTGGGCGAGCTGATCGCGCTGGTAGACGCCATATGGATCCACCGACGCGCCTCGTCTGTAGAACAAGTTTGTCCCATCTATTGTCAACTCCCTTCGACTAATGACTGTTGTTGTCAGGTAGTGCAGCACACGCTACTTTGGGTTCTCGGCTGGATGACTGGTGCACGGCCGTCGACGATGTTAGCCACACGTTGGTATAAAGGCCTATACCTGGTCTACGATGTATGCTTACTGCTTATTGTCTCTTCCTAAAATGACTGGCCACCTAGGACTGCGAGGTGTTCCGCCACGAGAGCGGTCGCCTGGGTCTTCGTATCAAGTTCAGGGCCTTCAAATGCCATCACTTGATTGGTGACGAACTAATGTAAGAAACATTGTTAAATCCTGCAAGCTATCTCAAATCATGAATAACCAGTATACCCTTTACCTTTCTTGCTACGACCGACCCGACTATGGCCCGTTTCGACGGGGTCACAAACTTCATCCTCCTCGGTCTTATCCGACAAGTCTTTGTGGATCACCCTACATGGGACTCCATCTGCCAAGGCTCGGACGTCATCCTCGCGATCAAGCCAGAATGGAAAAAACGTCCCATCTTCTGCGTTTCCGGAGCACGTGGTGGTAGAATGAACAACAACGCCGCTATGCAGGACAGTCTGGCCCGGATATATTTGCATCGCGCAGAGATCCTGGCGGGGATAGCCGGTGCGTGTTTTGTCTACTAGTAGCTAGCTTCCTCAACACTAACTGCCTTGTAGCCGAAAAAAACAGTGGGTTGTATCCGTATCGCCGGGGCGTTATACTTCGCACTCTTTCAGCAGAGGGTACAGTATTTACGCGAACCCTGGTCGGACATAACGCCACCTCGGATGTCGCAATGGACACGTACGCAGCCTCCACCGATAAGATAGATCTTGTCGGCGCAAAACTATACGGCAAGGCGTCAGACGGTGCAGGCGAATCTCGCACAACCACACCAGCAATATTTCGGTATTTGGCACATACACCCTCTCTATGCCACTCTACTAACACGCGTTCAGCATCCACTCCGACGACCTTGACCTGTATACGCTAACGATCGCCGAGGCGCACGAGTCCTGCGAGGAGTTGGTCAGACGCTACAATAACATGCTAGCATGGACTAGCGCTCTCGCAACAGGGATTTTGCCCGACGTCAGTCCCTTACCTCCATGCCAGTGCATCACTCATTTCTCTTTTTAGGTGTCGCTCGAGATGCATGGGATCGAAGAGGATGAGGAAGACGAGGACGAGAATGAGGAGCCTTTTGATCCTGCTCAGCCGGGCATTGCTCGCGCCACGGCCAAAAAACTACAATTCGCGCTGGCGGTCAAAAAGCAATACAAACTGGCATATAACAGATACAACAGCTTGTTACGCATCGTACGGCAAAATTACCGCAAGCATTGTGTCGCCCAACAGTCCACGGCACTCGAGCTTTCACGCGCCGAACTACAGCGTCGCAAAGAACTATATCTGAACCCGGAGACATTGAAGAATGTGCTGGATGGGAACGAAGGTGCTGGTGCCGAAGAGCAAGATGAAGACGATGGCGATGAAGTTGTACCCCATGGCGACGAAGTTGTACCCGAAATTCTTTTTCCGCCACCTTGTTTGACAGAGGTGGAGGAGGGTGGGATCACAAAGGACGACCTGGAGGCCCAGGAATCGACCTTTAATGCCCAAGGCGATTACATCCAGTATGTATGCCATGGAAACTGAAGCTCTCTATGCTGACATCTCTTATCTAGAACAGCACTGGCAATCGGCCACGGGGATTTGCGATGCGACCTGTGTTTGGACCTTTGCATCGATCAGGAGTACAAGTCCCTGCCAACCTGGCCCAGTCTCTCGCAGCTCGATCGTCATCGCCACTCGGCCTATCACTGGGTCAAGATTACATCCGACGAAGATCTCGCTCTCAAAGCCAAGAGTATGAATTGCGAGGACGAGCTTACCGGCTGGCTAGAAAAGGCCGAGAGCATGCGCCAGAAAGTTGACGGTGAGGGCAATCCAGGTGTCCTTCGGACACGAGAAGTACCCACGGTGTAGGCTCACCTTTACTTTAATCTATCGTAACCTGACATCCACTCAGGTACAAGCAAGTACTCACCAGCCGATCTAGCCAGTGTTCTTTATGTGGCTGGGTGGGTCCCAAATACGCCCATATGCAGCGACATGCAGACAAGCATGTTGCTGTGCCGAAATTAGAGCATATCCCGCGACCTGCAGCCCAGTATGCTGCTGTGCCCAAATTCAGTACACCAGGGGAGTCCAACTTTTACATCAAACGAAACCGGCCACCACTACTTCCATTCCGGCGTATAACTTGCCTCAGGCGGCAGCCCCACTCAGGCGCCCAACTTTCCTTTCCTTCCATTAAACCACGGAAAATAATATATAAACCTCTACCTCGTTTACACTAGAATCACTTATTTGCTGCCCTGTGTTGTAGTGTCACTTTTACCTGGTTCAAATTTCATAACAACTTTTGCCGAACAACAGAGTGAATAAAAAAACATAAATCGACAAAAATGCCCACAAATAATCACAAGTTTGTGGATCTTTTGGAAAGCGAGGATGATTACTAGCTTTCGAAGGGTGGATCACGGAACTTCCATTTGTTTTTTTTCGGGTTGGAATTAGAATGATTGCGGTGCCAACAAAAATATTCCCGCTAGCCGATTCGAACGGCTGACCGCGTCATGTGCAGGCTCTGTACTAGTGACGCGCTCTACCAACTGAGCTAAGAGGGACCTTGAACACAACGCTCATTCCGAGTCCTGATCAACAATCCATCCTGTGCATCCACAGGAAGGATAACTGAGCAGCATCCTTCCTGTGGATCCACGGGATGGATTAGGAACCACGGGAAGGATCAGGGGCATTCCTTCCCATGGATCCACAGGAAGGAATGCCCCTAATGCAAGTCTCCGTGCCGACAGAAGGAGTCTGTCCCAATACGGCAGTCGCTTTGTCAGCACGTCAATCCTCTGTTCAAGCGCACGCCCACCTCCGTTCGTCCGTTCAACCACTCTGGCGCATCCCTCTACGGTTTATCACAGGTAGCACAACTTGCACACGATTCGTGCACAACCCACGCTCATTTCACCCCAGCTTTGCCAGGGTGAATCTCAATCACGCAATATCGGCTGTTCCCACCTTTGTGGATTCAGCAATGCGGCCAGGTCCGCGAAACTCAAGTTGAGAATTTTTTGACACTGCCGGCGCCAACCGCACGCGCACCCGAATCGCCTCTGCCCAGGACCGCTTTCCTATCCCTTACCACCAATTCTGCGTAGGACCCATCGAACCAAGCCAATGCGGCTTCACAAGTACGTCTTCCTTTTTTCCTCTTCAACTTCTCCATCATATCTACCTAGTTCAATACCTGCATCTTTGCGGGTACTGGTTTCGATCCATACTGTTCAACCCAAACCGCGACGATCCAGTACTAATCATGTGAAACACATGAGAGGCGATGTTCAAGCACTGCCATCGAGTGCAGTGTACGTCCCTCAACTCTTTTTCTGAAATCTTACATGCAGCACGGCGGCAATACCTACCCTACTCCAACCACGTCAGAATCCATGTTGTCGTCGTGCCCATGTACAAGTCCGCCTCGGTCCACGTCCGCCAACTCTGGTGTCCGATATCACATCACCATGACAACTTTGCGGTTGTGCCAGTCTCGCACGCGCATTGATCCTCATGCTGCACACGCAGAGACGGTCATTTTGCTGTTCGTTGTGCGTGCGCAAATGATGACTTTGTGGCCGCCCCACTCCGCATGCCGCACACGCAGAGACGACGGCGCATTTCGCCGTTCGTTGTGCATGCGCGGCTTGCGGAGGAGCATGTCCCGTCGCTACAAGTCCCAGCCAAGGTCCGCGCGCGGAAGAAACAAAGACTCGCCGTTGCTTGTGCACGTAACTCTTGTTGTCCTCCAGCTCAGGCGCCTGTGGCGCCACCTCAAGGGCACATGAGCTCCCGCGCCACCGGCGCACCCTAACGGGCACAGGGAAGGAGACGCATTGCTGGTATGAAGAACCCTGGTGGGAGGTCGTGCATGCAGGGGCAGGAAGGGATGAAGGGAAAAAGATGCGGTGCCGCTTTATAAGAATTCCGGGGACATGTGATTCCGCTTGCGTGGAGTGCCAAGGCATTAGAGACGGTCTACGCGGCCTTATTTCGCATCCTCACTTTACGCGTCGCTAACTCGAATACACCTGTTCATCCTACAATACTGTTACAATTATACAAACACGTCCATTACAGTCCCTCGTCCAGCAAAATACTCGGCACGCTGGTATTGCATGCGCAGAAAGTAATACAACAATAGTACAACTTGGCTACTACTACACTAATCTACAGTGTCTGTATCAATCTCTGCAAAGTCTGGGGGATGACTGTCGCAAAAATCTATGACAAAGTTCGCAGCAGCGGGGAAAACAGTCATGAGCATGTTATACAGCGCACCCTTTGAGGTATTAAAGTTGTCCGTCAGCATCTGTCCGTCGTCTGCAACGGCCGATTGAAGTTTCAGCAGCGTCTCTCCAAATCGTTGTCGCGGTGGTTTGGTTCGAGGTTTCTTGGGCTCCAAAACGGATCCAACAGAAGATTGAGACCAAACTGCAAGGCGTGAACGGAAAAAGTGGAAAGGAAAAGAACCACGTACCGTATGATAGACCATACACAACCGGTTGCGTGCCGTGACTTTGGCCTCATTTTCTTTCTTCCAACCAGCATAGGTCCCCGGCGACCCCTCTGCCTTGTACATCTCGTTGTAGAGCGCCGTCTTACGCCCCGTCCCGCCCTTGCCATCTCCGAGCTTCTTCACCTCGAGACTATACTGAATCGCGTTGATACATTGTAGTAGGTTTCTCAGGTAGGTCGAAATGTCCGACATTGTTTCTTGGTTAACGAGATTCTAGCAGAGGTGAGTATACGGGCATAATTGCTCACGAAACTCACCTTGTGTCGAAGCAGCAGGCGCTGCGGCAGATCTGCAACATCTTCGTAGCGCTGTTCACCTTGCAAGAATTTGTTTACAGAAATAGAGCGCAGGTCGACTTTTCCAAGAGAGTCGCGCTGAGGATAGGTTAGGCAATGTCAAGAGCTGCCGAAATTAACAACGAACCCAGCTTTGAATGGAGCCATCTGCGTAGGGGACTAAAAGTTTTGCCAACGCCAGCGTTTCCTCGTCTATCAGTAGTGGCTTCCCTTTGGGAGGGGTGAGAGTGGTGTAAAAGTCTTTGGAGTTGAGTGTTTTGATGGATTTTGCTTTGCCCACGATAACAGCCACGCGTTGAAGACATCGCTCCGTCTTGACTTCCTTGTTCACGCCATGTTTAGAGCTCGGCTTCAGGGGTGGCTGAGAGAAGGTGTGAGGATAAAAGCATAGCGAGGGCCAAAGAGTAACTTGCAGGGGGTCGGGGTGGCTGCGCTGCTGGTGGGGGTTCCGAGGACGCGCGTTCAGCTCGGGAAGACGGTGGTTCAGCAGGAAGCGTGCCGGCCACACGCAAAAGCCTTCTTCGTAGGTTGACTTTGTCGATTTGAGTGGTTGGACTGTTGGACGCGACACTTTCGACGCTTTCCTCGAGCTGCTGCAAGAGCGCAAAGGCAGCCTGCATCGTCGCGTCGAAAGAGAGCCAGCACTGCCACGCGTCACGAGGTGCCGAACAAATGCCGAACTCCCCAGTGTTGGGGAGTTCTTTCTTCAACCACAACCACGACCCTTCTTGAACCACTACAAGTCTATCGCTCAGGCGCGTATACAACCTTCCGCCTCTCGCCCATTTGACACTGCTTCCCATCTAGTTTTTCACCACATTGTCTTCTCCCCTCTTTCGTTGGTGGCTTTGCGCTACTACGGAGTCAGCTGGTCTTGCACCAGTTGAATGTCAAATTGGTCTTGCACTAATTGACAGAGGATGGTTGATTTACTGAGATACCGCAATGAGCATGGCAAGTCTGTTCGTCTGCATATTCGTTGTTTAACATTGCGCAGTTGCATTAGGCCCATGGGACGGACGCGTAGGAGCTGTCATCAACGTCGAGGGAGCCGATTGCTTCGTTACATCGCATGCTCACTACATCCCTACACTTCCAACCTCCTCCGGCAAACTATCCATTCGCACAGATATGCGCTTCGGGCCAGACGATCCCACGTTGTGGCCGCACATATTCAGCCATGAATTCTGCCATTTCGGGGCTATTCCCCGCAAGTCCCATGCTGATGCGCTCATGTGGTGGAATCCCCAACACTCCGACTTTGTGTGTCCCCAATCTGGCAAGACCCTAACGCGAGGTCTGGGCAAGCTAAGCCAGGAACGTTTCTCTGCACTTGCATCGCTCGTGCACAAGGCTCTGGGGAGATACAAGTCGTACACCGAGAGCATCAGCCCTCCTGCTAAAATTATGCCCTGGCTGAACGGATATGTCCAGAGTCTGCGTCTGGGACTGGATCGTCTCCAGAGCCTGCCGTCGACCTATAGCCGCATGGTTCTCGGTGTAACGACCCTGCAGCGCAGCTATCTCGAGCTGACCGCTTTTCTTGACTACATGACGGTTTACAAACCGCGCATGGAAAACCCCAATACCGCTATCGAAGGCCCGCCAGATGAACGTCTGGGTGTTTTCACCTCCGACGGAGAGATCGCCCAGAAGCTTTACCTTGCCAAACTACCTTATTGGTTCATACGGCCGTTGGCCTTGTTCACCGAAGGCACCAACATTCTTCGAATCGTCGTACCCACCGAATCTACCCGTTCGTTTGAACTAGAGGCTGCTCCCGGTTACCCGCCAGTTGACGTAGGTCCAAAATTCGAGGACAGAATGTATGCGTTGCATCTGTGTACCCGAAACGCACCATGGTACCGAGATCCCGTCCAGGCACAGACCGTGGTCGCACCCCGCTCCAACACCCCGGCTATAGCCGGTCCCAGCCGTGCGCCAAAGCGCCAAAACAGCCATCCCTCGCCATGTGAGATTTTTCTTTGTCGCGGTATTTCGGATTTACTGACTGCTCGCAGATTCCAAGAAGCAGGCAAAGTCGAAACGAACGGGACCCAAGAGCGTGACAAATACAAAGTGGTCATCAGCCCACAGATGGCCCCTGCGATCGCTTCCTGGGCACAAGCGCTGGCCAGAGTCGACAGATCGCGACCACCCACGCACGTTGCACTCCACGCTGGATCTCTGCCGCAGCAGCTGTACGTGATGCCGGAGCCTGCGCTACTTGTATATTCCCCGGACCCCGCACGCTCTCAAATGTTTCTACACCACTATCAACTCCTGCACGACGCACTTTTGTACCGTTTCAGCGACATGGACCACCCCTACAAGTCTCTCACTGTGCAAGAATGGCGCGATGTTTTACGCGGCCTGCTTACCGCGCAGGGCAAGTCTGGATCCAAGGTCGAAACTCGGACTACCTCTATTGAGCAGCTGTTGGGGCCAGCTCTGCGTGCATGTAACATCGACGCGCTGGATGGGTTTCCTGCCCAGGACATTCCTTTCACACCACCACATCAGGCGAGGGAAATAACATGGGAGGCCGCTGAGATCAACTTCCGTTTTGAGATGGTGTCCCTCGACCACCACGCCTGTGGTATCAAGCGACTCGAGCAATGCTTGGACTGCTTTCCAGTCGCTACCCTTATCGCTCAACTAAGCGAGAGCAAGCTGGGATTTGCTGCCGACACACCGCAAGAACGCCTCCCGCATCTCTTGCGTTTGGCATTCCTCATGCGCA